TCATTTCCCACAACAAAGTAAGGCTTGCTCTGGAGAAAGACACCACCAATTGGTCTGAAGAGAAACTGAAAAAGAAGTCTGAAGTTGACGAGGAGGCCTATAATCTGATCATAATGAACTTGTCTGATGCTGTTCTGCGGAAGGTAGACGACATGGAAACACCGCTCACACTTTGGGGTAAACTCGAATCCCTATATTCTTTACAGTCTGCACCTAATTTAGCATTTCTTAAAGGTGCTTTGTTCTCTTATAAGATGGATGTAACTAAGTCTGTAGAAGAAAATCTTGATGAATTTCTTAAGATGACATTAGTGTTGAAAGGTACAGATCAAGAGTTAGGAGACTCTAGTTTAGCAATGATACTATTGAATTCATTGCCTGATGAGTATTTAGTGGTGAAAAATGCTTTATAATACATTGGGACAGTTCCCAATGTTGACTTGATTATAGCTGGCCTGAAATCTAGAGAATTAGAGTTGAAAATCCAGAAAAGAAACATAAATAATTTGTTTGTCAAAGGTAGAACAGAGTCAGTACAATTAGGAAGGGATAATGGTAAAAACGTTCAACAACACATGAGCTCTAAACCTAAGAAGAAATGGAAGAATATTAAGACTAAGGGACAAACCAGAAAGTGCTTTCACTGTAATAAACCAGGTCATCTTAAGAAAAACTGTTATGACTGGATAAAGAAACAAAAACAACACAGTACAGAGAGTAATTTAGCCAGCACTAGTACTGATATTGAAATTTTAGAAGCTCTCACAATCTCAAACCAAGCTAGCAGTAAGGAATGGGTCCTAGATTCAGGATGCACCTTTCATATGAGCCCAAACATTCAATGGTTCCAAAACTTTAGGAAATGAGAGTTAGAAACTGTGTTCATGGGTAACAATCTCTCTTGTAAGGTTCAAGGTATAGGAAACATAACCATTACATTAAATAATGATAAAATCATAATGTTAACCAGAGTAAGGTACATACTTGACCTTAAACGAAACCTGATTTCGTTAGGAACATTAGATGAAGCTGGATGTAGTTACAAGGCAGAAAAAGGGTCCATAGTAGTTTATAAAAATAATGACATATTGCTTGAAGGAGTCAAACAAAATGGACTGTACATTCTGTGTGGCCAATATTTTGCATCTGCTGTTAATTCCGCTTTATTATCTACTAACCTTTCTGCTACAGAGAAATGGCACTTGAGACTTGGCCACATAGGCCAGAAAAGTATGACTGTTTTAAGCCAGCAAGGCTACTTTAGTAAGGAGTTAATATTTGAGTTGAGTTTTTGTGAAACTTGTGTATTGGGTAAGCAACAAAGAATGAGTTTCCAAAAGGGAACTCATTTAGCTGAAAAAAGTCTGGATTATTTGCATGCGGATCTTTGGGGTCTTGAAAGGGTTAGGACACATGGAGGGAACTGCTATTTCCTCTCCATTGTGGATGACTTTAGCAGCAAGGTATGTGTATACCTCCTTAAGTCCAAGGATGAAGCCTTAACTAAGTTTAAAGGCTGGAAAAACCTGGTTGAAAACCAAGTTAATATGAAGGTAAAAGCCCTTAGGATAGATAACGGGTTAGAATTCTGCAACCTGGAGTTTGACTCTTACTGTGTAGGAGAGGGAATTTTAAGGCATAGGATTGTTAGGGGAACCCCTCAGCAAAATGGGGTTGCTGAGAGAATGAACAGAACCCTACTAGAGAGGGTTAGATGCCTTTTATTCACTGCTTGTCTACCAAAAACTTTTTGGAGGGAAGTATTAGGTACAGCAGCCTACCTGATTAATAGAAGCCCTTCTAGCTCCATAGATTTTAAGTGCCTTGAAGAGAAGTGGTCTGGGAGGAGACCATCTCTTGAACACTTGAGAGTATTTGGATGTGATGCATATGCACACACCCGGGATGGTAAGCTAGAACCAAGATCTCTTAAGTGTGTTTTTCTAGGGTATCAAGAAGGAACCAAAGACTATAGGCTTTGGGAAAAGGCTACCCCAGGGGTTAGAGTAATTGTTAATCGAGATGTGATTTTCAATGAATCTGTTTTCCCTTGCAAATCTGGTACTAACAATGCAGGTAGCTCACAAGAAGATTCTGAAAATTCTGGACAGACTAGGATAACTCAGTTTGAGGTGGAGCGGAGCCTATAACTTACTCCAATCAACATATCCAAACAGATGAGACTGGTCCACTTGAAGACCAGCCACAGCAAACCCAAGAGCAAGAGGATGAAGAAGACCCTCCTGTAAATACTGAAATGGATCAACATAGTGATCTGGCCCAATATCAGTTAGCCAGAGATAGAGTCAGGAGGAAAATTAGACCTCCCATAAGGTACAGCTATGCTGACCTGATTTATACAACACTCCTGGTTGGTTAAAAGGTACACGGATTAGAACCTGACACTTATGCTGAGACAGTGAGATCAAGGGACAGCAAAGAATGGGTGGTTGCAATGGAAGAGGAGATGGAGACACTGCACTTGAACAACACCTGGACACTTGTCCCAAAGCCAAAAAATCAGAAGTTGGTAGAATGCAGGTGGCTTTACAAACTGAAAGAAGGGATAGATAAATCTGATCCACCAAGATTTAAAGCCAGGTTAGTGACTAAGGGCTACACTCAGAGGGTAGGTATTGATTTCATTGAAATTTTTTCACCAGTAGTTAAATTTAAAACTATTAGACTCATGCTAGCAATTGTTGTACAATATGACTTTGAGATAGAACAATTGGATGTTAAAACTGCTTTTTTGCATGGTGAGTTGGATGAAAAGATATTCATAAGTCAACCCATAGGATTTAAGGATAAAAAACTGTATGATTATGTATGCTTACTGAATAAATCTCTGTATGGACTTAAACAGTCTCCTAGGCAGTGTTATAAGAGGTTTGAGGCATTCATAGTAGGAAGTGGATTCACTAGAAACATGTATGACAATTGTTTCTATTTTGCATGTATCAATAACATGCTAATATATCTTCTGTTATATGTAGACGACATGTTACTAATTAGTAAGTCCATGTTTCAGATTAATGAACTAAAAGCCAAGTTAAATACTGAGTTTGACATGACGGACTTAGGTAGAGCAAATAGAATCCTAGGAATGATGATTGATAGAGATAGAAGTGCAAATACCCTTAAACTTCATCAATCCTCATACTTATAGAAACTGGTTTCCAAATTTGGCATGGCTGACTCCAAAGTGGTAACAATGCCCTTTGCAAACCATTTCATACTTAGTAAGTCACAATCCCCAAAAACAGAATCTGATATGTTAAAAATGGAAAATGTCCCTTATTAGAATGCCATAGGTTCTGTAATGTATTCCATGATAAGCACCAAACCAGATTTAGCATATGCAATATCACTGTTGAGTAGATTTATGTCAAATCCTGGAAATGAACATTGGAATGCTCTAAAGTGGCTACTTAGATATATATAAATTGCACTGTTCAGATTGGTTTGGTTTTCTGTAAAAGAAATGCATCACTTGATCTGGTTGGGTATGTAGATGCTGACTTTGCAGGTGACAGAGATTCCAGGAAGTCCACTACTGCATACTATTTCACATTAGGAGGCAACTGTGTTAGCTGGAAAGCACAGTTGCAACCACTGGTTGCACTTTCAACTACTGAAGCAGAGTACGTAGCAGTTTCAGATGCATTCAAGGAAGCAACATGGTTACAGGGAATTCTGAAAGAAGCAAATTTGTTGAATGACATAGCAATAGTTTACTCAGACAGTCAAAGTGTCATCCACCTTAGTAAGAACCCAGTGTACCACAAAAGAACTAAACATGTGGATGTCAGGCATCACTTCGTCAGAGACCTGATTGCAAATGGAAGAATTAATCTCCTAAAGGTACCTACTGAAGAGAATCCAGCAGACATGGGAACCAAAGTGGTGACCACAGCCAAGTTCAAGCACTGCTTGAACTTACTTCACATCAGTTAGATACTTTCTGGAGCTGAGAAGAAATATGGAAATGACTTACTGCACTGAAGGAGGTCCAGCAAGGAAAAGAGAGAAAAGAAAAAAAAAATGGGGAAGGCAGAATGTTGGCTTCAAGGTAGAGACTGAAAGTGTTATGAAGCCAAATGACGTCGTTCGCATTTAAGTTAAGTGAGTGAATCTTGAACGTCAGATCAAGACAGATCCTATGGCTCATAATAACTAAAAATCTAAAATATAAAAGAGGGCAAAAATCAGTGTATAGTCATTGGGGTTTTTTAGTCTGTAATTGTGAGGGTTCTATTGAGTTGAATGAGCAATTGATTTAGGGTTTTTTGCTGGGGTCTTTCTCGTTGTAATCTGGGCAAGATTGTGAGAGGTTGCGTTTCCTTCTTGAGGCTAGGTTAGTTCTCTGATTTCTTGCAGGTTATAGAGAGTTTTTGGGTGATTAGGCCTGGGTTAAAGTATTGCTCTGATTCGGCAGATTGGGTGTGTAATTCTTGGTGTAATTGCTGGATAATTCTAGTGTAGTGAGTCTCCATATTTCGGAGCTCAACGTGGATATAATCTATCCGTTATTGGATAGGTGAACCACGGTAAACCATGTCTTGTGTGTGTGTTTGATTTTTTCTTTGAATTTGGTTTGTGTTGGATTGAGTTGTGTATTGATTACTTTAGACTCAGGTTATAACATAAAATGACACATATTTTGTAACGGAAGGAGTATTAATTAACATAACAATGCAACCAAATAAATAAAAATCAAATGAAAATGAAAATCAAATGTGCTTTAATAGAGTATCAAATCATAGGAGTATTTTAACATTTTTCTTGGCACTAAAGAAAAATTTCAGGCCGACCAGAGCGGCAATAGTCGGCAGTCTAGCGCGTTACGTTATTGCTTGTATTATACGACATCGTTTCTAACGTAAAGAATCTAACAGGTCCACGTCCTTCTTCTAGAAAAGTCAATCGATGAACACGTTCACGATATAAACAACACTCTTATAAAGACTTCAACGTGTAATCTCTAAAGTCCTACGCATCGTTTTGACTGTCTTGTCATGTCATGTCATGATTCTGCCCATAACGCTACGCTAAATTGCGCTGTTCTTCCATTAATATTATTCCGAAATCCGAAGCTCTCATTCACTTCATTTCTCCATTTGGCAAACTTTAAGCTTTAATCTCTTCCATCTCATCTTCCGTCTCTTTCCTTTTTGCTCTCACTTGGCCTCGTTTTCAGCTCGCAACTCTTCGCTCTGCACAGCTCAGGAATTTGCTTGAAAAATGGTTCAAATTAAAGAATTGTATCCTCATTTGTCTATTGTGTTTGGATTCATAGATTATTTTCAAGTTTAAATTTACTATTCTTTTACTTTCAGGTCTGCTTTGAGCTTAAAATTTGTACCTCTAACTGATTTCTTTTCTTGAATTTTTCGTAGTTATTTTTAGTCTTCTGTTTGACTTAGTATATTTCCTTAACTTTTCAATGTGGGATTTGCTTGTGAAGTCGAATTGTGATGCCCATGTTGTTAGAAGAGGTAAAGCAAGTCGACTGAATTTAAAATGTTTGTGATTTGGTTATTGTCTAGATATTAGTTTATATTAACAGAGTTTTTGCATCGTGTTTGCTCCAATGGACTTTTGGGTTTCAGTATCACATAGCTCAGATGTACATGGTCATGAAGATGCAGCAGCAAAATTCAAATGGTGATGAAGGTGTTGAAGTCTTGGAGAACAGGCCCTTTGAAAATGATGTATATGGAAGAGGTCAATTCACATCTAAAATTTATCGCTTACAAAGGTAATGCACTAAAATAGTACTGATAATCAGTTTGTTTTTTGTAAATTTGAAGTGTTTTCTTGAGCCGGCTGCTGAGAATTTGAACTGTATTGACAGGACTGTTTGTATATGTGTTGTTAATTGGCTGAATTGATATGTGTATTGCAGTATGAACATAGTATAAGCTATTTGAGACTTCGTTTATAAGGTTTTTATATTGATCTTCCACGAAGTTAAAAGAGCACATACTACTGCCTGCTGTATCTTAAATGATGTAATTTTGGGTTGCAGCAAGGTTAATGGTTAACATGGCAGCTCGGAGTACTTTCTGCTTTAAGGAAATAAGAGATGTTATGTATTTGTAGATTAAAAATTCCAAATGCTTGTAGGACAAGAGCTGATTGTATGTGTCATTTGTAAGTGAAGGGTAATAATTAGTTAACTTAACTAGTATTTGAATTATTTGAAGTCGAAGTTATATTTTAATGCAGCGATGTTTGCATTTCACTTTGTTGTCTTCTTATTATATGCCAGTTCTTAGTCTCTGGGAGGTCATTGATATGTGTTATGAGGCTTTATGCTTGCAAGATTCTTGCGACTTGTGATTGGACCATTTTTTTTTTTTTTTTTTTTTGAGAGATCACTTGTATCATAATCTGTGGATACGTGTCTCAGGGTTTGAATTCATCATGATTGTTTCATATCCTGCATCCTGTAGGGTAAAAAAAAAAAAAAAAAAAAAAAAAATCATAAAGCAGCAGGATATGTTATAATAAAAATAAAAGCGTGACGCAACAATGCCAAATGAAGCAGGTTTCAAGAAATTTCTCACTAATATCAAGATCACGTATTAGACTCGTTTTAACATTACATCTTCAATTAAAACAGTATACAATGTTGAGTTAGAACAAAAACCAAAATTGGGTTAAGACGGAAATATCTCTGATTGCAGCCTTGGCACATTTACAATTAAAGTTAAGAAATGATTACTTCATATAATCTATAATTTCCTCTTCCAGGGATTTAATAAAGGTTTATTCCTTCGCTAGGAGTACGAAATATTATAATCTATTCATCTAAGAGCAAACTGATTTCGTCAGCATTACCCATCATTCCCGGTAAATGAGCACTTGAAACAAAAACTATATTTTCCAGTATATAAGTGGCACAGTTCTCCGATTGCTGATCATTTTCGCCTCTATAAAACCATTCACAACCCTCAGAGATAAAAATTTTAGGCATGCAATTAGGATACATAATCCTTGCAGGTTCAAATCTTTAAACAAGCATGGCTATTTCTTTCTTCATTTTCGTTTTTAATTTATATACTATTAAAAGAGAATAATAAAAAAGTGGTGAATAGAAAGCACACAAACCTGAGGGAGAAAGATGTATGGCAACAGCAGTAGTCAATTCAATTCCCTGACCAATACGATTCGTCCTCCACCTAAAATCAAAACCTTCTTCCTTGTGTAGGGGCTGATTCACACTCAAAATCATAGGACGATACATATAAGGAGTATTAGCCTCAAACTCTGCAGCACAAGTATCTACACGCTTGTATGTTGGTGTAACTCCAAAAGAGAGCCGCTTTGCCCGAACTCTTTCCAGAGAATTAGTTGCAAAGGCAATCTGCTTGTCACTGAAACCTCTTCGTTTAACTTCGTAAAATTCATCCTTTGAAGATAGACAAGCTTCGAGTCAGAAGATATTGTTCCACATCTATCAGTTCTTTGAGCTGAGTGAGGAACCATTTGTCAATGTAGCTCAGCTCATGAACCTCATCTACTTTCATCCCCTTCTTCATTGCAGCATATACGCATGAATGCGATCAGGGCTAGGACTCGAGGCTGTATTTCAGTTGGTCCCAATCCCGTCAAGTTCCTTCAGCCGTGCACAACCCCAACCAGAGTAGCCACTCTCTAAGGACCGAACTGCTTTCGGAAGGATTCCTGAATGTGCGGCCTAAGGCCATGGCTTCTCCAACAGATTTCATTTGGTTGTTAGTAATGGCTGAGAACCAGGAATTTCTCAAAAGCAAAGCGAGGGATCTGCAGATTTGAGTAGACAGGACTCAATAATGGATGATTATCTCCATTATCAAAAACATGGGTTGACGACACATTAGTGGTAATTACAGAATTGTCAGCAGAAGTAAAAACTCCCAACAAATAGCCGTTTCAGTGACATCAGAATTATACATGGCTCAAAAAGTATACTAGAATATAGAATAAGATTGAAGAAGGGCAATTACATTCAACAACTTAAAAAAGACGGGTTTTAGATGGAAAGATACAGGTTGATATTCAATTAAACTATCAGAGATGAACACTCCTCACCCAAAGTTATATAATTCTGCAAATGCTGAGTAATAGCAGCCATGTTAAGCCCATTAATAAAGTCCAAAGATAACAAAACCAAGAAAAAATGTTTTGAACTTACTACCAACACAAATTGAGTAACTTCACAACTAGGCTAATCTTTTTTAAAGCAAACAGTAACTAGAAATTATGAACATACGCCAAATGAAAGCAACATTTTCTTACCTTTGTCACCACTAATCAATAGAAGGTTCAAAACTAGCGGCGTTTTTTAGTAATATCATGGGAATCTGGTCCAAGAGAATCCAACTGACACTTAGCAGCCATTTTTGCTATAGGAAAACCAGTACCTTAGATGCCAACGCAGAAAACCTCGACACCCTCGGGTTCATCTCAATAACCATAACCTCTCCATCAACCGGATTCACTGCAAACGGTACATTCGAACCTCCACACTCCACTCCAATCTCCCTAATTATAGCTATCGAATAGTCTCTCAGCCTCTGATACTCCTTATCCCAGAGTCTGAGCTGGCGCCACCGTAATTGAGTCCCCATGTGCACACCCATAGGATCAATATTTTCAATAGAACATATAATGACAACATTGTCAGCCAAATCACGCATTACTTCAAGCTCATATTCTTTCCATCCCAACACGATTTCTCCACCAAAACTTGTGAAGTCAAACTTGCAGCTAACCCTGCCTTACTATAGACTCAATTCCTCTTTATTATAAGCAATTCCGCCTCCGTACCACCAAACGTGAAAGCCGGGCGAATAATCAATGGAAATTCGCCATTTCATTAGCAATTGCAATACATTCATCCAGCGTTTACCAATACCAGACGTGGCGTATTGACGCATGTTTTTCATTGCTGCTTGAACAAATCTCTGTCTTCACTTTTTAATCGCCTCAAGTTTCGCTCCGATCAATTCGATGCCGTATTTTCAAGCGCACCACTCTCGGCCAAGCCACGCGAGGTTTAACGCGGTCTGGCCGCCCATGGTGGGCAACAGAGCGTCGGGGCGCTCCTTTTCAAGAACTTGCTCAACCAACTCCGGAGTCATTGGATTAATGTACGTCCGTCAGCCAATCGGGCAGTCATAATAGTGGCCGGGTTTGAATTTATCAAAACGACTTCGTATCCTTCTTCCTCTCACGCCTTGCACGCTTGCGTACGGAGTAGTCGAACTCACACCTTGCCCAATCACGATGGGACCAGCACCAAGGATAAAATTTTCTTAATATCAGTTCTCTTCCCGAGCTTTGGAGCTTTAACCCGCCGTTCCGTTGTTCAGTCGCAGAGTTGGCTCGAATACGTGACTTTGAGTTGGAGTAGCGAGTGAGCTGAGCTGGCCATGAGCGAAGGCTTAAAGAGAAGAGAATTTCTTGTTTTTGGTGGTTGTTTTGTTGTTAGAGTAGAAGAATAGCTGGAAATTGTTGTTTTTGGATAAAGGAAACGAAGGTTTGTGTGAAAAAAATGAAGCTGAAGACATTTTTTCCGGTGATTCAAGCAATAGCTCATTCTTGTTTTCTTGGATATAGGTTTGAATCGTACACAAAGAGGTGAGCTTTAATCGTACAGCAGAAGCAGCAGTGAAAGTGTTAAGGTTGGAAGAAAGAATTGGGTTTTTGAGAATCGAAGAGGGGGTTCAGGTTCTTTGTCTGCTTGGATATTCGGATGGTTATTGATTGCTGACGAGGAGATTTTGTCCACTTACAGTACACACAAATAGGGTTTTTGAATATTAGGGCCTCTGTCAGACTGTCACATCAGGCATGGAGCTCTTCTCTGTCCGGTGTTTGGGCAATGATTTTCATTGGGCTTTTCAAAAACTTGGCCTTTATTTATATTTCGGATAACATTTTGGGTTAGTATTTTACGGCCTCATACTTAAAAATGTTGATGGGTTTCTTACTATCGACTGTTTTACTCATATCTGGGCCCCTTTCTTAATCATCTTTAAATACAACAGAAATTGATTAATTAGATAATATTATTAAAGTATACTGATATTAAATAATAATATTATAATAACAATGCAGTCTATATAGATTCAATTAATATATACATAAATAAAATCAAATGAGTTTGATTTTGGGTTAGTATTTTACGGCCTCATATATTAAAATGTTGATGGGCTTTTAATATTAAGCTGTTTTTTTTTTTTTTTTTTATGCCGAGTTTTTAGTCAATTTACGTGCACCTTCAATTAATCATGGATTGAATTATCGACTAGGTCTCCCGTGACTACCTTTATTAGCAACGATGAAAAATTCAAACTCGAAACTAATAATACACCCAAAGTTTTTATCGAAAACTATTTTCATCCATATCTGACTCTTCTAATATATTTAAATCAATAGAATTGATTAAATATCTGAAATATCTTTAGAAATATTAATTAAAATATACCCATATTAAATAAATAACACCCTCTCTCTCTCTTCAGTTTTATGTTTCCCCTATCTCCTCTCTTTTACTTTTTCTCTGAGTCCCTTTCTCCCTTCTTTCTCCTATCCCTCGTCTCCTCTCTCTTTCCTCTTTCAAACGCCTTTAACTCTACTTTTTCTCTAGTTTCTGATTATGACAATGGTCAAGAGAGGTTCAAAGTTGTTACTTTTGCTTACTATAGAGTGTTGTTGGTGCACTCTGTTTATGACATGTGAATGACTGATGTCAATTTGAAGACCTTGCACCCTAATTGAGTGGCTTTTTGCTAGACACTTTAGTTATAATCCATACTTCATTTTCTTCTCCCCGTTGCTAAATGCGTTGGATTAGCATAAAATAAAAAATTAAGCCACCTAAATGTAGTTTTTTTTCTTCAATTGTCCATACACTTTGCTTCAACAAGAAAATAACTTGCCTTGGTTCATTTGTGATGTTTTTCCAGCTCACATGCATATTATTTTCCTCAGCTATGTCTCAACTTCATTCGTAGCTTCTATGTTGGAAGAACATTCAAATTGATTTCCCCAAACTCATATCTTCTACTAGACATTATTCAATCATGGTAAGTAGTGAAAAAACAAGATGGGCAAGTATATTTTAACACTTTTACATAACGGGAAACCAAAAATTTCCAGGAAGAGTAAATAAGAGATGAGTAGAAGAAAGAATTTGTTTACATTAAAAAAAAAAAAAAAGTGCAATTTTCTAAAATGAAAGTGTTTGAAGCCAAACGACATCGTTCGCATTTAAGTTAGTGAGTGAATCCTGAACGTCAGATCAAGACAGATCCTATGTCTCATACTTCTAATATCTTTGATAAAAAGAG